TAAAATATTTGTACAAACAACTTCAAAGATTAAAAATGTCATTAGTGGAAGGTGGTCTTTTCTTCTATTCTACAAAAAGGAATTGTAGGAGCAGTGAATGTAAAATAGGACCATCTAGAGGTTGAGCTGGGCTGCTTCCCTTTCTCAATGACCAAGCTTAGTCCCCATTGACTATCTGCCTGAAAACATTTTCAACTCTTGAGTTTCTTAATAATTAAAATGATTCCCAGGTGAATGTGCCTGAATGTCAATAACTCCATCTTTTGTTAATGTTCATGGACTTGCTTACAGAAACCATTTTATAACACAATATGTAGTTTAGAATCATTTAACTATGTCTGCTGCTGAATATTTAGTAATGAAATAACGTATAATGGTATTAGGATTTAATTAATGGGCTATAGTTAATGGATTTAATGCTCGGCCTTCTCATATAGTTCAAAATTTTGGGTCTACCTGTGGTATATTTCTTATTTAGTAGGAAATATTAAGCACAGTGATGTTTCTTTAAGATCAGACACTATGAAAGGGTGAGAAATTTCTTGAAATACTGTTTGAATACTGTATTTTCTGTTGTTTTATTGATTGATGTTAATGGAGACAGTTGTGTAACACATTTCCTTATTGTGCCCAGAAAAACTTAGTGGCACAATGAGTAAGCTATGGGAAAACTTAGAAAGATTAAAACTATGTTTTCTCCAGTTATAAGGTCAACATTTCACATAATGGAGAACTGTATCCTGTTGTTATAATAATGAAAGCTTTCTTATATTTAAAATATAAATGCCATGTTTGTGATTTTTACTATTTTAGCTGAAAATTGTAGGTCACTTTCCCATCCTAAAACATTAAAGGGCTTTATATATTAGTTTCATGTGTGCTATTTAAATACTGTGAATTCTTATTTTCCGGTTCTACAAAGAGACAATAATTTTAAGGAAGTCTTTTTCATCCTTCATCAAAAAGTACTTATTCCGTTACTTGTTATACAGATGCAGTTGTGACATAAAACTGGCAGAAAACATGCCAAGTCTTTTTTCTTATTTTTTTCTCATTCAGGAAGTTCTCACTTTGTCCTTAAAATAAATCTCATCTTTGAGGTTTGAAAAACAAAACCAACAACCTAGCTTTACTTCTCTCTACAGATGCAGTTTTAAAAACAGTAGAAATAATATTTTATGAATTGAATTTAAATGTCACAGTTCAAAAGCCATATGTTTATAGATAAAATTGAGAAAAATATTTTGTGGGCTTTAATTTTTATTATTTCTATTAAAGTATTGCTCCAGAGAGCATATTAAAATGTCATATTGATTTTTCCTTTTTCTTTTCATCATATTGATTTTGATACGTCAAGTCGTTGTCTTAAAGGGATGTTTTAAACTATATTTAGAACTATACAAATATCAAAATGAATTTCATCAAAGACAGTGCTGGCTTTATAGCAAGTTTACTAATAATTGTGTTACCATTTTTGTCAGAAAGACCACAGTAATGAAAACCATGTTTCACCTTTTATATATATAATTGGATGAGATCACCAGATGCTGATGTTAAGAGCACATCAACAGGAAAGGTGAAAATGGGAGCTGCATGGAAAAATACCAAAACCAATTAGCTTTGTCAAAAACCATATGACCAAGCATAGGAGAGAAAAATAGATTTTGACCATGAGCTGACCTCAGGTAACTTAATCATGGAAAGAAACAACAAGATGGCCCTTCTTAGAGTTTTCTTAGGCATTTGATAATAGACGAAAATACCTTGGAAATTGATACATCATATTCAGTGCTTCAAAACTCAATGTCAGCTTACTTTTATTTTTCTAATATTTTATAATGCTAATTTTGAAACACAGAAAATTTGAAAAATTATATTGTGAACACCTGTGTATGCACAACCTAGATTCTACAATTAACATTTTGGTGTATTTGCTTTACTACATAACTATGTATTCATTCTGTTATCCATCCATACTCCATCTTATTATTTTAAGCATTTCAAAGTAAGTTGTACACACCAATAATTTCAGTTCTGAATACTTCAACATACATATCAACAATAGTTCAACATTTGTTTGTGGTTCTTTTTTGAGATAATATTTAGATACAGTGTACCACTAATCAGTTTGACAAATGCATATACTTAAAAACCTTATTAATTGGGCTGGGGTTTTGGCTCAAGAGGTAGAGTGCTCACCTAGCATGCGTGAGGCACTGGGTTCAATCCTCAGCACCACATAAATAAAATAAGATATTGTGTTCACCTATAATTAAAAAATAAATATTAAAAACACCTTATTAATTAAGTAAATTAAATTAAAATTGTAACAAGGTAAAGAATATTACTGTCAATCCACAAAGTTTCTTTGTTCCTCTTCATAGTCTAGTCCTGTCCTCATTTCCACACTTACAAATTACCGTTCTCATGATATTTTCATCATAGATTAATTAATTTAGCTTGTTCTATAACTTAACATACATGAAAACATACAGTATTTTTTTTTTGGTTAAAGCTTTCTCTTAACAGTTTTGGTATGCATCTATATATTGTCTATATAAGTAGTTTATTTATATTGGTGAATAGTAGCCACCCTATGAATGTATGCTGCAACTTATTTATCCATTCTATTGATGGATACTTGAATTATTATTACCATGGGCTATTAAAGAATAGACTGTTGTGAAAAGACTTGTGTAAATATTTTTGTGGGCATATATTTTTCTTTTGTATAATCCTAGGATTACAATTACGGGATCATAGGATAGATGTATGTTTAGTTTTGTAAGAAACTGCCAGATGTTTTCTGAAAGTGTTTATACCATTTTATATTTCACCAAAAAAAAGTCCCAAGAAACCATCCTGAGCATCCTACCAATGCCCAATATTATGAACCTTTTTAAACTATTATGCTCATTTTTAATGCTCATTTTAATAGGAACTTACTTAAAGATACTTAGTAATCACTTTGTGAAATGTTTTTTCAATCTCTTTGCCCATTTTTAAGTTGGTATATCCATTCAAATAAATTTACATAAATCTTGAAACTTGTGCCCATTAGATAAAAAGTGAAACACACATATGACCTTATAAGTTGTTCAAAGGAAGTCTAAAAATATTTCGACAAGTTAAAATGAAAGTGTACCTAGGATCTCTTGTTACTTTGTTGAATGTTGCATTTGGATGGTAGAAAGAGGTAGCAGAAGTGTATTCTTCTCAGGTAAGGGAGTAAATGGTATACATTGGTATGGGAAAACCACCATTGCTAACATTACTTTTTTTTCTTTCCCTTATCCATGCTTCCATATCTCAGCTTCTTCTTCCACATGCTCTCTGATTTAGGGTTAGCTTATAGGTTTCCTGACCCCATCATTTTAGCAAGGTTTGGTCATCTAGAATTGGTTGTATACCTGAAATCCTATCTAAATTTTAAAGCCTGTTAGAGATTCTGAATGATGTATGAATTTACATTATCCCTGAGAGAACCATAAGATATGACAAAAACGATGATCTATATTAATAGACCTTCTTTCACAAATGTTTGATTTAACCCTTTGTTAAAGCAAAGGAGTGATTATTTGTTAAAATATTCTTCAGGCCCATGTTAACAGTTGATCAAGTATAAAATATATCAAAATTTTGAGATAACATTCAGTAGCATTATGGAAGAGTAATTTTGTATGTAATATTAATGGTTTAATTTTCAATAGAGCTTTTATATATTCTTATTTTATTAGAGAAAGATATAGAGGAACAAATGTGTTACTGGAAGCAAAGGCAAGAATCCCTCCCACCCAGAACTGAAATGGCTATTGTAGGTTGGATTTAGTGTACTCTGTAGTTTATCAATACAGAGTGACTAAATGTGAATAGCTTTGCAAGGACTAGGAAGAACATTATTCAGTGCAGATTAGAGAGGTGTGTTTGCCAAAAATCTCCACTTGTGTTCATTGTTTACAAAATTTAACTGATCTTAGGAGACTTATATCTTCTCTGAAACAGTGATCTTCATAGGAGTGTGGCACGAGAAGAGTAACTCTTGGAGCTGGAGTTGTAGCTTAGTGGTAGAGTGCTTGCCTTGCATGCATGACACACTGGGTTTAATCCTCAGCACCACATAAAAATAAATAAATAAATAAACAAACAAAGAAATAAATAAAGACATTGTGTCCATCTACAACTAAAAAAGAATATTAGAAAAAAAGAATAACTCACCCAGGTCTCTGTGGAAGTTTTGTTTCTGTTTAATTTATCACACATCTTTGTGTGAATAACTGTGCCTCAGGATCTAGTTTTCTTTTATCTAAAGTAACCACTTCAGCCTGGAGTGATGGTGCTTGCCTGTAATCCCAGCAATTCTGGAGGCTGAGGCAGAAGGATCAAAAGTTTGAGGCCAGTCTCAGCAACTTAATGAGATGCTGTCTTAAAATAAAAAAGGGCTAGGTATGTAGCTTAGTGGTAAAATGCCCCTGTGTTCAATCCTCAGTACCTGCCCCCCCACCACAAAGAAGAAAAATAATAAAATAACCACTTCATTTGTTTTATCTAGAGTAGCCAATTTCTCTCTCTCTCTCTCTCTGTATGCATGTATGTGTTTGGTGTGAGAATGAATCTGGGAGTCTCATATCTTACCTGCTTAGTGATCAGGGAAGAAAACTCTATGGAGGCCAAATATATTTTTTTAATTTCTTATACGAAAAATTTCCTTTGGCATCTGAGAGCTCTGAATTTATTTCAGCCTATTATGTCTTCTTATGTCAAAATCCTGATAAGTATACTTTTGATTTCTTTCTTTTTTTTCCAGGGCTGAGGACTAAACTCAGGGCCTTGCGCTTGCTAGACAAGCGCTCTGCCACTAAGCTAAATCCTCAACCCCTGCTTTTGATTTCTTGAGGCAGCAGTATTAAAAAATGAAGTGAGTTTACGGATCATGAATTTTGGTTGGTGAAGATCACAGACTTGATTTTTTACCCCATCCTTTACTTTTCTTATTGTTACAGAAGAAACTACTATGGAGGAAACTGGGCCAGTTTTAGCTTTTCAGGACTGTTGTCCTGGCTAAAGGAATATCAGGTAAAGTTCTTATTTGATCTTTTTTTTATTTGCAAGACTGTGTTTTATGCCACATAATAATCCACCATTGAAGAAAACTCTAGATGTCATCTAGGTAATATATAATTGATTCTTTATTTTTATTCAGTTATTTGTCAAAAAACATGTTACTTGAAGAGTAAATCATATACTGTTGATACTATTTCCTATTTACTCTCTATGCCCAAATATAAAGCAAGATATTTACCTCCAAAATTATCTTTCACAAAAATATCCCAGTTCTTATATAACATTTTACATATTATTAGTTGCTTTTTTTTAGTTAATATATTTAAAACAGAAAACAAATAGTGGGCTGGGGTTGTGGTTCACAGGTAGAGCACTTGCCTAGTATATGTGAGGCACTGGGTTTGATCCTCAGCACCACATAAAAATAAAATAAAGGTATTGTGTCTACCTAAAACTAAGAAATAAATGTTAAAAAATAATACAGCTAGTTAAGGAACATACATTGACTTGAAATGCTCTCTGTCAGTGGTGGTTTTATATTTTCATATAAGTCATCTGACAGTGGTAAAAAAAGAGGAAAATGATTTAATATAAATAAATTAAGTAATTTTTAAGGGTAGGATTTTATTACTATACCTGTTGAATGAGTGCCATTATAAAGAAATTTTTAGAGATCTCTTAACATAAAATATGGAATTTTTAATGTTGGAGAATTTACCAATTTATATGATAGGCTTTTAAAAACTCCTGAAATTCCTGCTGAGAATATCTTACATGGAATCATTAACTGCTACATATCGAAAGAGTTTAGGTTTTTGGGAAAGGAGAATGATATATTCCAGAAAATGGCATTCAGTTAGCTAAGAATAACTATTAAAACTTATCGATCACCATACTAAGCACTGTAGTTTTGTTGATTGATTTAATGGGGTACATGACTCAAAGAATATCTCATGATAACAGAGACTTTAATGTTAAAGATACAAGATACAGTATGAATATCATTTCATGAAATAAGTAGAGAAACAAATGATTGTAAAACAGTATTTCATATAATAATTCAACCTATCTATAAGTCAAGATAGTAAATGTTAGAAATATATATTTATCTATTTTATCTATGTGCCTAAAATATTCATATGTTTAAATTGATCGGAAAACCAGTTTTTGAACCTTACCTTTGGAACATGTATATGAAGCACCTTATATTAGGTGTATTTAGTATTTCCTTGAGAAGAGTCAGTTTTTGTTCTCAGAAAAACAACAAAATACCCAGTTGTCTGGAAGTTTTTTCTTGAGTGTGTTAGTTAGGTTTTTGACACTGACCAAAATACCTACAAGAACAACTTCTAGGAGGAAAAGTTTATGTGGACTCACGGTTTCAGAGGTTCAGTCTATGGTCAGCTGACTCCATTGCCTTGGGCCTGAGGTGAAGCAGAACATCATGGGGAAAGGGCATGGAGCAGGAAAGCTAAAAGAGAGAGGGAGAAAAGGAGAAGTCAGTAAAACAAGATATAATCCCCAAGGGCACATCCCTAGCGAACTACTTCTTCCTGTTATGCCACCTGCTTACAGTTACTGCCCAGCTATTTCAGGGTAGAATGGACAGATTAGGTTATAACTCTCATTGTCTAATTATTTCACTATGAATATTCCTGCATTAACAGGAGCTTTTGGGGGAACACTTCATATCCAAACCATAACATTGGGAAAAGTGATTTTTGAAAGCAAATTTTAAAATCAGTTAGATTTAGTCAAATAGAAATAGTTTTGTAGAAGTACCTTTTTGCTTTCAGGCTTGTTTTACTTCAGGATCTTTACTATGTCACCGTGTCCTTTACCCCTTCACTCTTTCTTCTCAGTCCACTATTCTTTTCTTAGGCTGGAATCTCATGTCAACCAGCTAACATTCTTCTGTTTCACCTCCTCTTATACTTCTGTCAGGATGTTTAATACCATTTAATATTATTCTTGATAATAAAGCCTAAATGCTATTATTTTTCTTTAATTTTAATATATGAAATTCAAGACAGTGAAACCTTTGAAAAACAATTATTGCCCTACTTTATAGAATTTTAAGGTTAGAAATTTTCTGAGGAGAATTTACTCAACACAAATGATAATATTGTATTTTGAGTATACATAATGCATTTACAAAGTTTTCTCAGTGAAAGGTATGTATCAAGTAGTTTAAAAATTTAAACTTGGGGCTGGGATTATGTCTCAGCAGTAGAGCGCTTACCTAGCAGGTGCAAGGCCCTGGGTTCGATCCCCAGCACCACATAAAATAAATGTATAAAAAATTTAAACTGATTAATAATTGAACCTTTATATTTGGAAAAAGTATATGCTGATATCTTTGCAAGTACCCTGTATGTAAATATTGGGAAAAATTAAATTTCACGAAATTTTCTTCACTCAATATAATTAGTAATTGCTGAAAATTTTGAAGGACTACTTTCAACCCTTAGTAGTTTAAAGAAATATACTGTGCTGAGTGTCTTTCAAAAACACTTTATATGCAATCAAAATAGAAAGTAGTGGTGAGCAGTCTTCAGAGATCTGAAAGTAAATAGAGTAAGGAAGTAATTTTGACCCTGGTGTTTTGATAGCTAAATATAAAACAACAGACAAAAAGCCATTACTATTAACAAGTAATTTATATAGTAGATGTTTGATTCTCAGCAGGTAGGTTACTTTTGCTAATTCTTAAGCAGCATCAAAATAGCCATTTCCAGAAGACTATATCAAATGTCATATGCCCTGATAGAAATTTTATGTACCAAAGCTAGGTTTTGGTAGCATAACTTTTACACTGTGTTTTCTTCTCCTTCCTTTGAATTTGGCACCCTCTTTTGGAGTCATTTCAATGATGCTGAAGTGATGATGTCCTTGGAATTTCAATGTGATGAAAGGAAAAGTATGAATTTAGAAAAGGTACACATTTTCTCAGAAAATTACAGGTTCCAATTGCTCAATTTAATTAAAACTTCTCATGTGTTTTGCTTAGGAAAACAATGACATTGTGATTGATAGTTCACTGTGGCAAGAACAAATCCTTGAAAATGAAGAAGCCATTGCTCTTAGCAGGAAGGACAAAACTATTCAACACGTGGAAGTATTTTGTTATGCCAGGTATGGAAAATAATTATTTAGATAACTAACAATAACGACTTCTTTTTCAAACTTCTTCATATGAAGCCAATAATAAAGTTTTAAATGACATTGGTTGCTCCAAGTCAAGTTGATATGTTGGTTTTGCTTGTTCTTAAGTCTGTTAGTTTTTTTCTATTTAGGAACCAGTAATACCATCTTTCTTTATTGGATTACAATTTACCAAACTCTTTTAAATATATTATCTCCTATGATCTTTACAGAAGTCTTGCAATAGAATAGTTTCATTTTTTAAGAAAATCTGCAAAGGAACTCAGAGATTAAGTAATTTACCAAAAGTCATATGGTGTGGCAAATGGCAAGGCCACAAACCTAAACTAGAGAGTGATAGAGCCTGAGATTAAACTTCAGGGTTCTTTACTCCTGCTCCAGTGTTTGTCCAACTAGATCATTCTTCTAGTATAACATTCTATGTAGCAAAATTGCAAGATTATAATTTTGATTAGTTAAGTTCAGTGGTTGTAGCATTTGGATAAATATTTTTATAAATTATAGTAAAATAGTGGGAATTATAAATGTTCAAAGTATTTCCTCCAAGTGAAAGATTCATTGTTTTACAACAATTGGAATAGATTCTTTTTCTTTTTTGGTATTGGGGCTTGAACCCAGGGAGGGTTTACCACTGATTTATATTCCCAGTCCTTTTTATTTTTTTTTATTTTGAGACAGGATCTCAGTAAGTTGCTTAGGGCCTTGCTGAGTTGCTGAGGCTGGTCTCAAACTTGCGATCCTCCTGCCTCAGCCTCCTGAATCCCTGGGCTTACAGGTATGCACCACCTGACTTTTTTTTTTTTTTTTTTCAAATGATATGTGGTCAACAAGTTGAAAGGTTTAGTGCATCAGCTGTTAGGCACTTTAATAGTAATTAGGTCTTACAATCCATTTCACAGAGATTTTTCGGATATGCTTTGTCATGTTACTCATTCTTGTTATGCCAGAGTGAGCCTGTGAAATGTTTGGTAACTGGTGCTTGATTTTTTTTAACCTATTTTCATGTCTTTCAGGTAATTAGAAATTTCCTCATAAATACACAGTTAATGTTCTCTGATTTTCTGTAAAAGATCTGCCTTTGAAACATGAGATAAAGATTATAATTACATAATGCTAAATGTCATTTAGTATTAAAAGGTACAGCTTACTGACATTGCTCAAATCCAGTATAGGAAGATTTATGAGGAAGGTGATTTCAACTGAAAAGTTATATTCTTATAAGAAGTAGGAGTAAATATTTGGTAATTTTATTGTGTGATATTTTGTGCCCATGAGTATTACTTGACTATTTCATAGAATCATACTGTAGCCCTCTTAAAGGTACTTTTTGATACTTCAAGGCTTTTGATTTCTCTACCTGACAGTTAAGGTTAATAGTTTCTGATTACTGACTAGATAACGTTTTGAGTTCAAAGGAAATCATCTCATTTTCTGTTGCTCATATGTTCAATTTCATTTTTAGAACTTCTTAAAGTGAGAAATAGAAAATTAGATTATAAAGTTTGCCTTAAAATAGCCAAATACGACTCTGTTTTGTGCTCTTCTGATTGCCAATTAAAATATGGAACAAGAGGTAAACACAATAATGTTCCATGTCTTTATTCACTGGAGCAGGAAGAGCCTTGAGAAAGCCGGAAGTGGAGGACTATACAGAAAATCCAGTTATATATAGTTAGTGCTTAATGACATTAGCAAATAGGAATTAAAGTGCCTCACTCAGTCCCATATTGCCAGATGAAAAGGGGCTAGGGGCCAAATCAACTGTCAGATTTACTTTATATGAGAAGTTATCACTCAGAAACCATTGATTTAAATCTAAATCTTTATTTAATATATATTTCTAACAACCTTGTTTCCTTTTTTTCCCCCTACTGTAGTAGTTTAAATCTACATATAGGAAAAAGGCTATTTGCTAGAGACAAACATACTGAGACCAGGGGTATAGTCCTGCCTTTCCCATTCAACTTACTATGTGATACTCAGCAAGAGATGCTTTCACTTTGGGTCTAAAATATGAAGGGTTTGGACTAAGTAATCTCAAAAATATTTTTCAAATCTAAGTGCTACTGTTTCAGGTGCTAAATAATAGACTAACATAAGTGAAGACAGCATCATCAATCTGAGAGCAAACTGTGGGCCATTTTGTGTAGGAATAAATGGATTTTCATACCAGAAGATCCCTTTAAGCCCATCACCATATTATAACACAGTATAACAATTGATGATCATAATTCTATCCCAGTGTCTTCAGGCAAGTTAAAATAATATTGTCATTCCTACACTTGAAAAAAGTATGGAAATTTGAAGTATGTTTTAGAAAGAGTACTAAAATGGTTAGAAAAAAATTATCATTTTAAGGGACAAGCTATATTTATCTAGAAAATTTTCTTATTTTCCCATAAGTAAGGGTATCACTAAATAGTAGATTTTTGGCATTTTTGAGGGACACATCATAAAAATCTTCATGAATACTGTTTTGTAAACTGTGAAAAGTATTACACAAGTTCCTCACTGTTTTTGTTGGTCTTTTACATATCTGTTATTGATGTTACATTCTGTGCACGTAGAGTTTGTGTGTATTTAGTTCTATACTATTTTATCACATGCATTCATGTATCCACCACCACAGCCACTACAGAACAGAATGGTTCCATTACCACAAGGATTCTTCCTATTGCTTTTTTGTCATCATACCTTATTTTTCCCTCCTTGCTGCCTCCGCCAAATCCCTAACCCATGGCATCCACTAATCTGTTTCCTAACCTTGCCATTTTGAGAATGCAATATAAATGATACAGCATGATATATAACCTTTTGTCCTTGGCTTTTTTTTATACAACATAATTCTCTAGTAATTCATCCATATTATTGTGTACATTGATCATTTGCTCAGTTTTTATTGTGGAGTAGTATTCCATGGTTTGGAGTTATGAATGTAAGTTGTTTAATGATTTACCCATTAAAAAATCTGGGGTGTTTCCAGGTTTTGACTGATTAAAAAAAGAGCTGCAATGCAATTTCACATAAAAGAATTTTGTGAATATCTGAGATAAATGTTTTTCTTGAATTAAAAGTTTTCCTTTTTCTCTTATAAACATCCAAGTGTACAATTGCTGGGTCATATGATAATTGCGTATTTAGTTTTAAAAAATGCTACCAAACTGTTTTCCAGAAGAATTATACCATTTTACATTCCCATGAAAATATGAATAATCCAGTTTCTCCACATTTTTACCTGAATTTATTGTTTTTACTTTCTTATTTTAGCCATTTTGATAGGTGTTCAGTGATACCGGTTCGTGGTTTTAATATACATTTCTCTAATATGATTAATTTTATATAGCTTTTCATATGCCTGTTTGCCATCGTTTATCTTTTTTGTGAAATGTCTATTCAGGTATCTTGCTTTTTAAAAATTAAACTCTCGTTTTTTGCTTTTGTTTTCAAAGTTCTCTATTCTAGATATGTATCCTTTGTCAGATATTGGTTTGATAATTTACCCCCCAGTCTGTATCTTATCTTTTTATGCTCTTCAAATAGTATAGGTTGCAGAGAATATTTTTAATTTTGAAGAAGTCCAACTTATCATTTTTTTTTCTTTTGTGGATTATGGTTTTTGTGTATAGTTTGAGAATTCTGAACTGTAAATCTAGAATATTTTTCCTATTTAAAAATGTTATAGATTTATATTGTACACTTAAGTCTATGATTCACTTCATGTTAATTTTGTATAAGGTGTAAATTTTAGGTTGATGTGTTTTTTCCCATCCCAACCTAAGGACACTCAATTGCTTCATCAACATTTGTTGAATGGCTGTTCTTTCACCATTGAATTACTTATTTTATCTGACAAAAATTAGATAGATTGTACTTGGGTGCATGTACTCTTCCATTGATCTGTATGTCTTCCCCCACCAATACTACACTGTCATAATTACTGAAGCTATATAATAGGTCTTAATACCAGGTAGAATGATTCCTCCCAATTTATTTTTCTTTGACAAGATTGTTTTAACTAGAGTTTATGCATTTCCATATTAATGCTTTAATAAGTTTGCCCATGTGTTAAAAAGCATTGCTAGAAATTTGATAGAAATTGCATTAAATTTGCAGATCAGATCAGGGAGAATTGATATCTTTATTACTCTGAGTCTTCTATTCTTTGAACAGTATATGTATCTCCATTTCTGGTATTCATTTTATTTTTTTTTTTATTTAGTTGTTGGTGGACACAATACCTTTATTTATTTTTATATGGTGTTGATCAAACTCAGTGCCTTACATGTGCTAGGCACATACTCTATTACTGAGCAACAACCCCAGTCCCTGGTGGTCATTTTTTTCCTCCAAAAAAATCATTTTAATTTTTAGCATACCAATCTTGGACATGTTTTGATAACTGTATCCTTAAGTATTTGATTTTCTTTGGAACAATTGTAAATAGTATTAACATTTTAATTTTTTTTTCTGGATCATTGTTGTTAGTACTTAGAAATGCAGTAGATATTAATATGTTGATCTGGAATGTACCCTAAAATTTTGCTGAATGTACTTATTAGATATTTTTTTCCCCAGAATCTATTTTCTGTTGAAAGTCATGTATTTTCTACCTAGAGCCACATACCACAGGTTAATTATGTTTTCTACTTAATACTTAAGCTCACTTAATGAGCTTCTTTTTCCCCCAGAAGGATATTATTTTCACTTCCTGAGGACTTTGTAATTATTCACTAATGTTGGCCAATCTTTAAGGTCTCTCACTTACTAACTATATTTTTCCTATGTTCTTTCATAGGAAAAACCCCAAATCACAAAGACTTATTTTCTCAAGCATTTCAGATAAGTGATATTCAACTTTTAAAGAGAAGTCAACTTAAACTTAAATTCTTGTTGCACTATAAACATGGGATATTATTTTAAATGATTTTGAAAACTTCCAAAATGTAAAGACAATTTGTAATGATAAGAAG